TCGCTCGCTCTCTCCCCCCCGCCTCCCTCCTTCGTCGTCTATGAGTCTGCCTTCGATTCCTTCCTCTCTCCTACCCCACCCTCCATTCTCTGTCTGACCCCGTTCAGTCCCCTGGTCCCAGCTTAGCTGTCACTCGTGGGGAGTCTTTCCTACAGTCCCCTCAAGCTTGCGGAGTGGGTGCTTCCCGTGGGGAGGCCTGCCCCTCCCGGTGTCCCCACCACGGACGGCAGGCTGTTGTACACTATTGGAATTGTGTGACGCTCTTGTCTTACGCTGTTGGAATTGCCGCCTCCCCCCAGTTCACCCCCAAGCAGGGGCTCCCTGTCTGTCCACCTGCGAGGCCCTCCAGGGCGCTTCGTCTCCCCGGGGCGCCTCCTGCGGTGTTTGTATGGATAGCGGAAGCCAGTTGTGTACATGGGGCCGTGGGATGGAATTTCTAGGGCGGATCCTGGTGAATAAAACTTTGGTTTCTGGCTTGTACTGATGGAACTTCCTCGGTAATGTATTTTTAAACACGTTTCAGGAAGCTGTACGCAGAACTGTGCCAGGGCATCGTGGACATAGCCATATCCAGCGTCTTCCCGCCGCCTGACGCCGAGCAGCAGCCGAGCCAGCCAGCTGCGTTCATCCGGCTGTGATGAGCCACAAGCACGGGGTCCTGCTCCAGAGGCGACGTGCATCCGATTGCTCCACACGAAGCCAAAATGAGGAGGAGGCGGCGCGCGGAGATGCGATGGAGGGGAGAGCGCCAGAGCCGAGGTGACCCCCAGGGGCTCCCAGGTGGAGCTCCCTGCACTGCTGTTGAGATTTGAAAACTGCAGCAAATTTCCCCGCAGGGCAGAGCAGAATGTTCTTCTAAGGAGAAGACACGGGGAGTTGGTAGTTTTCTGTTCCCGTCCTTGAAAGAGTCGGATTTCTATCCTGAGGCAGTGTTGTAAGCAGCGCCTCTCCTCCGGGGACCACAGGGCCTTTGCTTGTGTCCCCAGCTGCTGCAGCCTTCGTGCCTTAGCTCTGTGCCCAGCTGCCACCTTCTGTCTGCGCGGGGATTGATGCAAGAGCATTTGGGGGGTTGCTCCGTGTCCCTGCCCGCCCCCCGCCCCCCAGGACACTCTGCCTGTGAGAACCTGGGCAGGCGCTCACCTCGCTGGCTGGCAGTCCCGTTCCTGTGGCAGCCCCTGTTCCCTGCGTGCGCTGCCTCCGGGCGGGGCTTGTCACCTTCTCCCTGACCACCCAGCACCTGGTTCGTCGCCTGTCGGTGTGGGTGTGGGCTGGGCACCAATATAGCAAACGCCGCTCTCAGCCTGCTCTCTGCATGTTTTAGAAACGGAGCAGCAAGTTGCCCACAAACCCGTAGGCATCAAATAAGCATGGGAAAGAGAAAAGACGATGTCTTGCTTTGCTTCATAGCTGGTTGTCCTTGAAATACGAGGAATGTGTTGTCTTTGTTTTAACCAGAATACTTCATGCACTTTTGCAAAGTTCCTGGAGGTCAGGAGAAGGTAGGGTTCCCCTCCCCCCGGGCGGCAGTGCCCCTGACACAGGTTGCTCCTGCCGGCTCCGGCTCCTCTCCAGCGCCTTCCGTGGGAGCTGGAGGGGCGGTTTCATTCTGGCGAGGAGTCTGTCTCGCGGAGAGGCTCTCAGTGAGCGTCTGTCTGCCTGGATGGGAGAGTCTCCAAAATGAGAAAGACGTAGTTTGAGAGCTTCACACAGCATCTTGTGGGTCCACCGAGGTGGCCTGTCAGGTGCCATGTGGCTTCACTTACTGGATCGACAAGTCTGCAGACTTCCCGGGAGCCTGCGTCACTAGCAGTGGGAAGGTGCCATTTGTGTTCGTCGAGCTGGGTGCCCGGCCCTTCTTAGGGTGCTGGGACCCCAGCGCACCCTGGACAGGGCACCTCCTCCTCGGGACGTGGTGCGTGCTCCTCCGTGAATGTGCTCTCCCTCCACTCTGCTTGCACAGAAAAGCAGTTCTGCAGTCGGGGAGACGTTTTTAAAGAGAGAAGAAAAAGCACCAGTTCCTGAAACCTGACGAGATGTGGGAGCTCAGGTGTGGGTGTAGGATGTGAAGGAGTGATGTCGGGAGGAGTGGGGAAAGGCCCGGCTGGGTTGACTTGCATGGGGATTTGAATTACAAAATAAAGCCCTGGTTGCCCAGAGGGCAGATGGTGAAGTTTGCATGCAGAGCACAGCGAAACTGTCAGCGGTTAAGGTCACTCCTGGAGGCCCGGCGTAGCTGCTGGGGTGGTGTTTGGGGACTTAGCGGATCGTAGCCAGGTGTACCCCAGTGAGAAAGTGTAGGGTCCTGGAGATGTCTGTGGAGGCCGGTAATGGGGAAACCACGGAGGTTTTTGTAGGGCTGTCCCAGTGAACACAGATGCGTAATGATCCTTTGGAACTAAGCTACAGGATGTTTGAGAGTTTCCCAGCTGCTGCAGTGACAGCTAAGAATTCAGGTGTTGGGAAGTCTGTAGATCTTGATGGATTTTCTAAGAAACCTGAATCAGTAGCATACATGTGAGGGAAGTAAGGCTCTAAAAAGAAAGTGATACCTCATTCCTCATGCGTTTTCAGATGTCTGTTTTATGCGTTTTTTTTCCGATGGGGGGATAGCTGGCTTGGAGCTGTTCCATGCCCTTCCATGCCGTCCCTGCACAGGCGGACCTGCCTCGCTGCCCAGTCAGTCTTCCTTTGTGTGTCCCACGTCCGTGTTGCCAGTGGCTGGGGAGGCGGCGTTCCTCACTGGAGATGTCGACTCCAGTCTTGGCTCTGCCGTTGGCAGCACGGTGTCGGATGAGCTGTAACCTCTCTGTGCCTTAGTTTCTTGTCTCACGGAAGAGATTATTGCCTGACCGGGACTACCTCACAGGCTTTAGCGAGGACAGGTGAGATTAGGAAGACTCGAGAACCTCCGGTACCAAGGTTCCCAGTGCTGGCTGTGTGCTGGCACCACTTCTGACAGTGCTGGTGTCCACACTGTCCCCCCCCCTCCCCCCCCC